AACTTTGTGTCAGTACGTCATAAATAGAACGAGGCATCAGTTTACTGTCTGGGATTTGTCGTGTCACTCCGCATCCAGTGTAGACAGTCACACAGCATCACTGATTGTAATGGGTTCTATTGTGTTTTGTTGCGTCGCGCTGCACCGCTCGCGTCCGGTGTAGACACAGTTAGCCACGCAGATGCACGTGAACATTGATTTCTGTTCACTTCTGTGTCTATTTGTGCCTGAATTACTGTGCTTTGCAAGTATCCTTGTAAACACAGATGCTTATGGCTTAGGTGAAGGTAAACAATGGATGTGCAACAGTATATTGGTTCATACATAATAAATATACACAGTACACACATGGGTTCGATTAATCACAATTAATCGTTTGACAGCCCTATTATTTATTATTAAGGTGCAATTTCTATTAGTTTGCATTGAATTTGTATATTAACTTACAGTGTCAAAGATATTTAGAAAACAAAAAGTAAAAAAAAAAAAATGCAGTAATGTGTTTTAATGCACACACATACTGTTAAGCGTGCAACACATGCAGACTATATAATATTATTTATATAAATAAATCACTTAAAAATTCTATAATTTATCTATATAATTAAATCAGTTTAATAATTGAACTACGTCATATTCAATTTCAAAGCAATTATCTGTGCAGTCCAACATTCGAAAGAGGACTTTCAAATGTAAGTTTACTTCTGAGTCACCCAAACTCTCGCTCTCGCTTTTACACAAGCTTTCTTAAGTGCACACATACACAAACACTCCCAAAATGCCGAAGCTTCAGATGATATGCTGGAGGTTCCAGAGAAAACCCCATGACGGAGGACAAGTCAAAGGTTCAATAAACTATAGTAACACTCAAGGGAGAAAAGATCTAATGACTGACAGGATACAAACACAGAATGATGAATCACAAAGACTGCAGAATCGTTTCCTAATGGCAACCAGACGCACAAGGACTTAGACGCTTTCATTACTTGCGAATCAATAATACAAAGAGACTTTTTTGATTAACTGATTGAGCGATCAACTGATGCACATGCCAAATTGCAAAAGAGATTGTCAGCCGCTGCAACACAGACAAATTCGAAATTCTAGTTTTACATCCCAAGAGTGGAAAAAGTACGAAAATGAGCTTGTCCAAAGAATCTCAAATAGGACAAACACTTTTACATGCTTCCAATGGGATGAACAGGGGATCGATCTGAGATACTTTACAAACTAATAAAAAACAGTGACCTTTATCAAATGGCTACAGAGATGTATTAAAGGTCATCTATGAAGACTATACATATAAATAAAAGCTCCTCGCTAATAATGAGTCCCAGAGATTCAAACCCCACTCCACACCACAACAATGATCTAAAAACAGAAATTGCTGCACAAGGAATCATTACATGAGATGGCACCGTAAGAGATTAACTGTCTCGACACATAAATCTGCAAGACGATGCACAGAGGACACTCCCGTTTATGCAAATGCCACTGTATGCTATGATTTGTCCCTTTACTGTGGACTCAGTATCACGTTTGACTGTATTACAGTTACTTTACTTAACCACCTTTTCCTAGCTATTGAAAAATCAAAATAAACAGCCAACCTATTCATTGATCTCGACTGGACGGTGAACAGATTGTGTGTGCAGCTGTGCAGCATGATGATTCAAGGAGAGGGAATTCCACATCTTTTTCTTGACCACAGTTAATAGGATCCCTTTTGGCTCAATCCTTTCCTAAGCGCATGAGCACACCGGACCGACGGGAACACGGTAGAAACAGTGGCATTTAAGAATATGGAAATGCGATGGCAAAAGCGGACTTTATCCTCTCTGAGGAATACCAGACCATCCGGCCCGGAGAACCACGAGGCCCACTCACACCCAGTGGCACTGTGTTTCATAAGCAAAGCTTATTTTTTAGGGATGTGGGCTCATCTAATGGGGGAAGAGCGTGAGGAGGTTGAGAAACAAGAATGGGGGAAAGATGAGTGTGTTTGATTGGGCAGCCTTTCAGAGCCCACAAGTCTCATCATATTTCCTACTGAAGAAAAACAAAGCATTTGAACCCAGGCATCACAATCACGTCCAGCCAGCTCGTTCGATCCAAAGGAGCATTCTTTCCTTCGGCGAGGCTGCTGCGAGTCCGTCGAAAACCAAACAGATCACCTACACCCAGAATCAGTCATACTGCAAGTGCACACCTCTGACTCACACATGCAAACCACATCCCTTCCTCACTCGCTCGCAATCAGGTCTGTTTTCTCCTCTTTCTGCGACCAGCAGCTAAACAAGGAGTCCTCTTAAGGTACAAAATGAAATCATCTTGAGAGCTTTAACAACACCCTAAAAATTATAGTCATTAGGACTAGATAGATGTGACTAATCTAAACCACTTGTTAGGCGCTCCTACTGAAAGCCAAGCAAGGATTGATTGGTTTTCACTTAAATAATTAACTAATCGCAAAGTTAGGAATTCAATGTGGCTATTGATTTCTTCTCAAATTAATCTCAGAGGGAGTCATTTGAAGCCTTCATCTGATCTTGTAGAAAGTAAAAACTAATGGACTTATTGCCATGAAGATATAGGCCCAATGCAATTTGGGCTGAATTTTAGGCACTGCCAACACAATTTCATGGTAATTCTTAACTATTTTATGTTTTGCCAAATTGGTGGCTAATTCGTACAATCTGCTTACAACTCATTGATGGTTAGGTTTAGAGGTGGACCTTCATGCTTACTTTTGTTACATTTTCATATGCATCACATCATAAAAGTCACACAAAAAGGCCACCTTGTAAAACACTCATGCATGTTTTCTCATGAGAACAGCACTGCCATCTAATAAACCGTTAACCAGTGCATAGATATTTCTTTTTACGATTACTTTGCCTCACAGAAAGATGTTAAGTAGCAAATTGTGATGATAAAAAGCTAAAGGCACTTTGTGTGCACAGTTCTTAGCTCTAGAAATTCAAGACACCAAGCAAATAACTTAACTCATCAGTGCTAATAAATGAGGTAATGTCATAAAGTGCCTCAGAGCAATGCCTTGTTGGCCAGTTAATGGAATATAATGACTTTCCTCAGCTTGTTTGTCATACAAACGCACAAAACTGTGTTAAGACAGTTATGAGCCTGCTGAGGTAACATTCATGCTTCCCAAGACTCATAAATTCTGATATTCTGCAGGATCTATGGTGTTGTCTTCAACAGCACTATTAAATTAAAATTAAAGCCCTTTCATTTGTAGCTATCGCGCTACCAGCAACAATGGGGACTTCAAAATATAATTTTTTGTGTGTGTTTGGGAGTTGTTTTCGCGATTTACCTCATTTCCAAAGAGGACAACTTAATAAAGCCAGAATTATTTACTAATATTGTGTCGAATACGTTGTTTTCAAACCTAAGACAGCGCCCGGCGGCGTTCGCCGTAGCGCGTCCTACCTGAACAGGTGAATGCCATCCAGGTGAGGCAAATGACTTGCATTTGAGTTTGAAAGGATATGGATTGCAAACCATTTTCAGACACCAACTCCTTGGGCGCGTGGTCTGCTTCAGATAGAAAAACACAACCGGTGCCAAAGACGGATAGGGCAAGGGTTCCCCGCCGCATGCGGACGCCTCCTCCGCCGCTGCTCCGACTGCGCTCTCCCGCCTTTCGCCTCCATCAGACTCGAGCTCAATGCGCTCTCCGCCACCACCGGACAGGTCGTTAAGTCGTATAAAAGTCGTTGGAAGAGAGGAGCTACCCTCTGCTTCCCTCAACTGATGGTCCTCGGAGATATTTCCTCCATCTTCAGCCATCATTCACCCCCTTGAGGAGAGAAAACGCATGCATTACCAGCTGTACAATAGAAAAAGAAATCTGATTTTACGCAATTATGAAATGTATTTAAAAAAAAAACATGAAAAATTAAAAGTCATGGTTGAAGAGCGTGCATGTCTATTTACACGTTTGTAAATAAAATGATACTTAATTAAATGTATTAAGAGTAAATGTATTTTGAGTTTATTATTTATTAACGTCGGTGCATTTGAACAAAGAAGAGACTATATATAAAAGGCAGGACTTTTGAGACTATTAAAATTTTACAGGCTGGTATTCAGTAATGAATTGATGGAACTGTACTAAAAAAA